GCCCCTCACGGCTAGACGCCGTCATACTTCCTCATTTCTCCTGCGAAACCATATCTTATGATGTTAAGCCCATACGATGATGATGCCCTGATGTTGTCTGTAACATATCGATCTTTAACAGATCGATCTTAAAAGGCACAACTGTTCGGGTGTCATTGCCAAATGTGGACAACAGGGCCATTCCCTGCCAGGATTGAAAGCCAATCTCAACAGTGAACTGCATTCGAGAAGGGCTACTCGAGAAGTGCTTCCTGTTCCCGTAAAACATACTTACGGCACCTACAGGGGCTTATTCTTACCCCTTCCGCAAGGAAGGGGAATTTTGACGATTACCCCTTCCAGCACTGCTTTGAGATCCTACAATGTCCTGAACACCTTCTCATGAATACTTCAAGATATCACCCATTTTCACGCGCGCCAGGCTGACGGACTACTTGAACTCAGCCCTTTACCGCCTCTGCGCTCTCTAGCGGGTCCCTCCCTCTCCAAGGCTTAGTCCTAGGGCATTCTCTAATCGTCTGTGCTCTAGCCATCGCGGCAGGACCATTGAGGAAAAATCAAGTAGTCCGTAAACCGCGCCAGACATCCCACCAGCGTTCATCCCCTTTTAACCAAGAGTCGATCAGAAATCCACGTCCTCCAATCAAATTAATTCTGAAGTAAACAAGACAGTCTTCAAAAACTAGAACATAGTACACCGAGCAATTATCCTTGGTAATAAGATTCTCTATAAACTCAAGACTTCATATCCTCCTTGCGACATGTCGCGCCCACAATTCTGACGCCAGCGGCAAAGCCTCCATCAAATGTATTTTATATTAAGGCTAAATGGATAGCACAAAAACTTCAGCACTGTTCATTTTCCCAGAACACAGCAATCAGCGCCAAGTCATTTCAACTTTAATTATCTGAGTGACAGATGTTTTCTGGATAAATCACTTCACCGAGCCTACATTAATAGCCACGCCAATCGCAACTGCATCTCAGCCTATTTCTACAGAAATATTCGACTCATAATAGAGCTTATGTTTAACACGGAAGAAAAAATCAAGAAATTAGATTTTCATATTTCGTGACTCATCAGCTGTCATCCTCAACTGCCTCTGCAGTTATGATCGATTAGAGGGTCTTCAGCGATATGCTTCACCTCGTCAATCATTTTAAAGTACCTGCCGGCGATATTTGAGACAAAAAATTCCTTTACAATTGCTCCTGAGCCTGATCATTTGTCAAGTTCTTTGACTTCATACGAACAGCGTAAAAAGCTCAATTACATCCTCTTGCCTTCTGTTTACATTTTCTTTTATTTTCTGCGATTCTGAGATTCCTCACGAAGATTCCGTCCTTTCCAACAAATTGCATTTCTGAAAGCTTTCTTTCAGATTATGCTGCTTAGCTGAGAAGCAGAGAGTATTCTTACGAGACTGCTGCTGTAGAAACGGAAATGATTGCGGATCCTGTCCACAACAACACCTGCACATTCTATGAATGGTCTCGAAATCCACATCATGCCAAATTCTTCCGAATATTCTCTATCATATCAGTGCTCACGGTACTCGTGGTCGTTGTCGTACTCGGTAACGCACTTGTTATCGCCGCAGTGCTTCTGCGAAGGCGTCTACGGTCCGCTACTGGATTGCTGATTCTCTCGCTAGGTGTAGCGGATCTATTGGTTCGTCCTTTTCTTTTCCATGCCATACTCGTAAAAACCACTTGATTCTAATCACATTCAATTCCAGGTAGGAACTGTGATTCTCCCGTTCAGTATTGCAAATGAAGTACTCAATGGGTACTGGATATTTGGCGAAACGTGGTGCACTATATGGTTGACGATGGATATCTGGATGTGCACGGCTTCCATATACAACCTCGTCGCGATATCTATTGATAGATATATAGCCATCATCAAACCACTGAATTATCCTATGCTAGTCACCAAATTCCGTGCTCGATGTACCGTTGCGATAGTGTGGATTGGCTCATTTATCATCTGCAGCCCGAGCTTCTTCCTGGCTTCCTCGATTAAGGATATCAATCAGGAACCTTGCAAGTGCACGCCAGCTAATGCTGGGAGAGCCTACATCACCTTTAGTGCTTCTAGCAGCTTCTACGTGCCTATGATAATCGTGATATTCGTCTATTTCCGTATTTATATCGCCGCTAGAGCTGCAACGAAGAGCATCTATTCGGGGATGATGCAAGTGACTGCGAATGCCAACAAGAACACCAAGAGCTACCTGATCAATCATCCCAACGTACTGGCCAAGGAATCGCTTCCGATGCTACGAGTGCACCGTGGTTCTTCTGTGTCCACTGTTCGACCAACCAATATGTCTTCAAAAGAAGTGTACGTTTCCGCGGTTCTCTCCTTCCCTCCCTTCCCTTACTCATGACTTATAAAACTGCATTTTCAGAAATGGATCAGGAAACGGTGGACGAAAACCGAAGCGAAACAGCAACACATCACTTTCTCCAATAAAAGACGAACACGAAGGGAGACTTCCACAACAAAAGCCTCCAGTAAAGCAAACATCGCGGGAACGAGAGTTCAGCGGCAAGAAAGCAGTACGTGACAAGTTAAGCACCGAGTCTGACGACTCCTCTGGGTGAGTAAAAGGAATTGTCTGCCATTGAGGAACATTCTTAGCCACATTTATTCAGGTCTCCACCCAAGCAGAAGCATGAGCAAGCTGCCGAGCAAAAAGCCATTGAGCCCGAGACACAGCCAACAAAATCGCCACTCGTCGCCAAATTACGGAAGAATCCACTCCGCGTACTTATGAATCGAGGGCATGCGAAGAAAAGTGGAGGTGCTTATGAAAAACGGCTATCGTTGGAAATCAAAGCAGCTAAAACTGTGGCAATCGTGACCGGCTGCTTCATATTCTGCTGGCTTGGCTTTTCACTGCTCTACGGACTCGAGCTACAAACGAACGATGTTGTCTGGTCGGTGCTATTCTGGCTCGGCTATCTGAACTCTGCACTGAATCCGGTTATTTATACCGTATTCAATCGCGAATTCCGCACCTGTTTCAAACGGCTGCTCACATGCCATCATCTCAACCACCCGAACACTAATAAGGTGAGTGACTGACTTTTTACGGGACTAATATGTATGACTCCGCAATAATTAACCGCCGAACATCGAATTCTTCATTGACCGATTGGCCGAACATTAATGAGCACAACATGCTGCAGCGCTTTTTTTTTTCTCTACGTAGCTGATATTGAGTGCCTTCTACGCGCATCAAAAGCGACAAACTTTTTCTGGCTCGTCTGCGTCACCTAGTGCAAAACCATAAGCCCCATGGAGTTGAGGTCAATGTCGTGTTTTGCAACTACTCAAAGGGGGGGCGGGGTAAGCATTCTTTCGCGAAATGGTCTATTTGTTGTGGATGTGCTGCCTTCGCTTGCTTGTGCTAGTGCGAATGGAGAGTCGTTTTTTGGAAGCCAGAGGGGTCATGGTTGCGAAAAAAGAAGTCCTTTCGTCTCTTGACCATTTTGCTGAGAACTCAAGGAAGAGTAGGTAAATAAGGGGATTTACCGCTGAATTCCCTCGTATTTACCCCACCCCCACCCTCTTCCTCCTCGAGGGCCATTTTGGAGCAAGAAGTGGGTAGACGGTGTTGTATAGAGTGCCATCTTAGTTTCCGCAATAATACTATAGAAACAGCATGGATGGTGAAGGTGAGGGAGAGATGGTTACTTTCGAGAAGACTCCATAAGGCTACGGGTGGTGGGAAGTCGTAGCGAGACCCTGAAGGAAGAGGGGTACTTTTTTTGCGAGGCTCAGGTCGATCCTGTATGGGTTTTTCTTAAGACTTAGGCAGCACTATCACTCAGTAAGCATGGCTACTTATCTTACGGTCCTAACAAATTTCTTAAAAAATTCCTCGACTAAACGTTCTCTTAAGTAAAAGTTCTACATGTTACAGTACACCAATAACAACTCGTACAATTGTATAACTTCGTATCTGGAGTAAGAACTACAGTAACTATGCCATCATCATCCACACATCTATGGATATAACAATAACACCACAACTAATCTGCCTAATGTCAGTTAAGTTAGAATGAACGCACAACGAGCTGATCTGATCTTCGCACCGGTACTGTTGCCAAAATGTATTCTCTCACTGCTTATTGAATGTATTTCTACTGATGTATTTTCTTGTTCAACGCATATTCGTCTCATATCTAAGTCTTCAAAATATATGCGCTCTGCTCTCGTCGCCGTTCATATGGCTTCCTCTGAACGCGAGAGATTATGAAATTTGCAAAAATTTTCACACGGGTTCCCTCATATGATCATTCACTACTTCGGAGCTGATTTGGTAGAATTCGTTTACGTGTTTCCTAAGTTTTGACTTCGATCGATATTGTCTTATTTTGATAAAACATTTCAAAGTAAACAATGATGAAGTTCTGTTTACGTAGATACTAAGAAAAGAAGAGAACGGAGAAAGGAATAATCATTTTGTAGGGTTCATAAAGGGAATTTTCAAATGAATCGATTGTTGCGTAGGTACTTGAAGATACAACTGCACCAAACTTGTCCGAGACTTCAAAAATCTGGCAAAATGGTTCGATTTTTAATAGAATCACTAACTTTCAGCTTTCCTGCTGGACTATTCTCCACAGGAAAAAACACTTCAAAGGACAAAAGGAAATTTGGCATTTAAGAATGCGCCATGCATTCTACTCATTCGGAACCATAGTGATATTTGAATGTGATTTTGTGTTTCAAATACCACCATGCGTGAGAAAGAGCGACCGACAGTACTGCAGTTAGGTATGAAATGAATTCACAGAGCATGTAGGCGGCTCTTCCCTCATTTTCGATGATGTCTTCACCATACCTTTTCCCTAAAACAAATCGGTTCGACACGCCCGCGCGCGTTCACGTGCAACGCCTCGCTCGTTGCAAGTGTGATTCAGTTACAACCTTAGAAACTACCATAAAAGTCGCGCAAAGGTAATTGTCCGATGAACGATTATGAAAATAGCTTTCATTTTTAGCGGTGGCGCTACCTGGCGTCACTTGTTCACCTTCTCACGACACCTGTTCTCATCAAATTTGGTGTAAGCTTCCGTACAGGGCTTATTTGGTGTCCTGAATTACGAAATGGCATTCTCGGCGTGGCGCTATTGCGCCTATTTTTCTGCTGGTTCTGTGCTCTCAGCAGCTGTAACAACGTTTAATGCAAATTGTCGAGATGGTCGATATTCGTGATAGGGCCAAATAACCCCTATACAGGAGCTGTGTCGGAGTTTACACTGATTTTGGTAAAAGCAAGGGTCGTGCCAAGGTGACGCCAACTGGCGCCAGATGGCGTAACCTTGCCATGGCCCTTGCTTTTGTGATCGGCACATCGAATAACCCCTACGTGATGTCGGCGCCGGCTTATCCACCGGAAATTAGGGTAATATGTAATTGTTTGTCGATGGCCGTTCATTCCCCTGTGAGTCAAAGAAATGTGTATAAAGCAGCCTTTCCTTTAGAAGGCTATTATGACCCTCTAGTTAGGATCCCACGGCCTCATCTTCGTTTCAGAACTTTCTACTTGCTCATCTCGCATTTCAGCGGGCTAAGGTTGCATAATGCAATTCAGAACAGGAAAAATTCCGAAATTTTATGTAGGGCCTCAAAATTTTCCAAAATTTCGTTAAACGCCTTCGCTAGGAATATCCTATAGAAAAACCCTCCCCGAAATCTCGCGTTAGAAAATGACTTCCAGAGCAATTCTAATCATAAGGCCCTCCTTCCCCAAAGGTTTCCAAATCAGGAAACCTGGACATTTTCTAGCCTAGCTCCCACCTTTCACTTCCCGAATACAATAACCCTTTTCGTTTTGGCCCATTCCTATCACTTCTTTATTAACAGTAGTAGGATTCCTCACGGCAAATTGACTCCAAAGCATTTCAGGAAAGGATATGCAGAGTGAAGATCAAGTTAGGAGACAGTTAAAGTTTAGACGATGGGAAATGCACGATTTTCTCGTAGTACAGTGATAATGTTCACCACTTGCGTTCCCTTGCATAAGATGGAGAATTCGAGAAGTTTATGAAAGTTTGGTCTCCTAATAAATTTCTATCTCATCTTTCAGAGGTGTCGTAGCATGGAAAAACATTAAAGGGATCATCTCCATGGAAGCAAATTAAATACTAATTGAATTTAGGCTACTGTCTAGCTGTAGAGCAGCTGCCCAAGAACAGCGTTTCTGGAGAAGAAAACTTCAAAATACGTGAACTAAAGGAACTTCTAAGATAGCCGCATTGATTAGATTGAAAAAGGGCATTTTGCCTACCTATGAAAAAGGCGCATAAGCTAAAAGAATTCAAGTCACAAACCTTATTTTCACACTTTGCCAGCAACTTCTTCTTTCCGAATTCATAGAGACGCAAATGATTCGACATACCAACGAGGGCTGATCCTCGGAAATCATGGATTGCGTTTACTGGCTGAAATAAACTGTATGCAATGCTGTTACGCGATAAAACGTTATTCAATCTCTTGACGTATTCCATGCTAAAATTCGAATGACTTACATATGGAGTTTCTGTACGATGCATAAGTTCGAAGCGGTCACCGGCGGCTGTCAAAAGGAATGTATAAATGCAACCTCTCGTACTTCTAGCGACCTGCAAAAAAACGTAGAGTTATAAGAAAACTACCACAGCATGAAAATATTTTAGTACCTGATCCAGTCTTTGAGCAATTGTACAACCGACAAGGGCCATCAAGGTGTCCTGGTGTGTTGCAAATTGAACAAGGGCAATGCTGTAAGTCACAGGCTAGTGTTGATCAGTTGGCACAAGATATTGGACAGATACAATTTCAATATAGAATTTACCATTTTGCAGCTTCATCCTGAGGCAGTTCAAACAACGAGAGAACTTCCCCACTTTTCACATTCAGAAGCCGCACAGCTGATGCCCATTTACCTGAAAAAAAAATTGAAAATAACTACTTATTAAAGAAAAAATGGGAAACTCCGAAGAGAAAAAATGAATAAATTATCCACTTTAGATTTACTCGGAATCTACTCCACCGTACCAGATACCGAGAAGTTCCGCGGTTACAAAGAACTGGCAATGAACGGTGAGGCTAGGCAGTATTTTTACCTGAGAGGGTTCTACTTAAAGGTGGAAATAGTACATACCCTCGCCTTCAAATGACCAGAAATTGTGCAATTGCAGAAATTGACGTGGCATTAACGTGGCATCGATTCAAGAACATCTTTGAGCACACGTGATGTCACCTTTTCATCGAGAATTTAGCCACGTGTGCCACGTGGATTTCTGGCTGCATGAAACAGAGTGTATGTTGACTTATTATAGGGCATATTTCAAGCTACGTTCTTATACAGCTGCATTACTGTGACACCCTAATTTGATCCGACAAAACAAAGCTTCGGTACCCCTTTTTTCTGAAGAACGCGTCTTGGACGAGAGAAAAGGCGAAAGTCTGCGGTTACGTTGATCTTGGGGCTCAACAACGCCTTAGTTATAGCGTTTTTTTCTTCAAGTTCAGTCTTAGTTTACTAACACTCACGATGCAGTACCAAAGCTTGACGCCAGCTTTCTATTCTATCAATCTCGAGATCTCATAGAACTTGGAAGACTTTCTGAACGCTCCTGAACAACAACGGCTTATGACGACAGCCCTCCCCCTCCACCCCACCATTCTATTTAGACTATCCAGTGAAGAACCAGGC